CCTCCATTCGGCAATTTTTATAGATTTTTTTGTTTGGGACTCAACACCTTTTAAATCCATACACTACATTCCTGCATGGATTTTACAGGAAAAAAAAAATTGATCAAGGACACAAAAATGCAAATTAGCACTTTCCAAGAACACTACAACTTTGGAAGTCACTAAACTTTGCCTGCCATTTCCTCGCTTCATTTGCATGTATCTCTTCTATTCAACATTATGTAGATGGGTATTTTTTAAAACCAAACGCAAGGGTAATGAACAGGTTTTAAGATTACACCAATAACCTCCTGTGCTCAATCCATCTATTCTGAGTGCCTGGTGAAAGGTACTGGATGAAGAATTATATCTTATTGCACACTCAGGTACAAAAATCATTTCTGAACAACTTGCTTTAAAAAATTTTTTAAAATAACTTCAATATTTCATGAGAGCTGGTTAATATTGTTAGGTAGGAATCAGAAACAAAATTTTCTATGATCAATCAGCCGGTCACGTTGTTTGTATTGAAAACTGTCGACAACACACCTACTACAGAAAGTGTAGTAACTTTACAAAGCAGTTTAAGACAATTAAATAGTGTCATTAAAATGTTTTTACAGCAAATTCACTGTGGATACAACTAACTTACAAACACAGCATTGCTGGGACACATTAACACCCACCCAGCATGTCCTATTTATTATTATTATAGTAGAGAGTTTTACGGCGCTCGCAACAGCATAAGGGTCATATGAGCGCCAAGGGGTGGGTGTCAACAGAGAAGTCTTTACAGGGAATCAGACTTAGACTGCTCACCTCTCTAGCTTCAAAAGCACAAGGTCTGCTTCGACTATCAAGGCACCCCGGAAATAGCAGGTCACAAGAGAGTGACAAACATACAAAAGAAGTAGAGGAAAATGACAATAGTAAGGATCAGGAAAGAAAAAGCAGCAGTTCCCTGTTGCAGACCAGGCACAGTTATGAGCGTGACATGAGTCAGCCCATTTACTAGGTACCACAAACCCCCGCCTCTGCGCAGTTGAAAGCGTGTAGGATGCTCGAAATTTGGTCATTTTTAATCAACCATAACTTTTCTCCTTTGACACCAATCTTCACCCCGTTTTGAACTAAGTTCAACTATTGTTTTTAGCTAAAAATCAAACTATTGAGGACAGCACGGAACGAGATATTGTATAGTAAGCTATCTAAAAAGGTCACCAAAATGCACGGGAATGCGTTTTTCGCTTCCATTTTCATGCCGGCCACGGCGACAAAAATTTAGGGTGCTTCATAAAAAGCCTTCGCGCTAAGCGGATATAACTGCTATCGTCATGAAACAAAAAGTGCAAGAACGACCTTTGAATAAAGCTTTCACCCGGTACCAAGCGCTTGTTGCTAAAGTTAGTTGTTGACCCAGAAATATCAGTAGTTTTGGAACCTATTTTTAGAATGGAAATCTCCAAGTCTGACCAGTGATTGGTCGAAAGAACCCTGGACTACTCAAAAGTAGAACATGTCAAGGGAATCGTGTGCAAAAATGACTACGATTGGTCTGGCAGCCGATTAGCGCCGCTTGTTTTTATAAACACACATGTTGGCCCCATCTCTGGCGACGCGCTTGATTCGGCAATGGGGAAGAATTATCTACGTGCACCTATTTTCGATTACGCTCTATTCACGTACATAAGTGCAAATCAAGGGCTGCATTGTGCTTCCAATCATGAATAGGGATATTCTGGAGATGTGCGGTAAGTTGATTTTGTTAATTAGATTTTTATAGTGTTACATAGTTTTTCATAAAGTCATCAACCTTTGTCTGACCTAGATCTAGGGCTTGAAGCCGAGATCGCAAACATGCGAACGGGTGGTCTCATTCAGAGCGTCCTGTAATTAATTCAGTACCCAGTATTGTTGTAAATCTGGTTTGGATAGAAAGATAAGAAGCTTAAATTTCTAGAAAATATGGTGAAATCTAAATCAATTTGTTTTTAGTCATTAAAAATTAGTGTTATTTTCTGGTCATGTGACCATTTCATTCTATCAATGATTCCGTAATGGTGGCCTCTTCTTAAAGATCATAACAAGCTCGATGAACTCGTCTGTGAAGGGGGTGCCACTGGCATTTGTTCATTGATGAATGAATATATTCTCTTGAATATCGCGAATATCTGACAGTCTTTGATAACTAATTCATTTAATTGTTTTCTTTTAGCCAATATATCTATTTAGACTTATGAAACAAGTACCGGCACCAATTGAATTAGACTTTTATAGGCTGGTTTACTGCTGAAAATGGACTCTCCTACTCGAGAGCTTCATTCATAATAATTCGTGATTATCAAATAAGTTGGTACCTTTTAGAATTGCTAGATCTATTCCTGAATAGACCCAATTTTTTTAGATTAATGAGCCATGGGGAATTTGAGCTTTGTTGCAGATCTAACTTGTGTCTCCTCCACCATCTCCCCAATTGTCCTGGCCCTTGATTTGAAAATGGGCTCTGCCCGTGCGGGAGCTTCTGCCCAATTTTATATTTTGGGGAAAAATCATCGTTTTGAAACGAAAATGGGCTCTGCCTGAGCGGGAGCTTCTGCCCAATTTTATATTTTTGAAAAAAAATTGTTTGGAGATTCTTTCCAATTAAAAAAAAAGTAATTAGAATTGAGGAGTTTTTGTGTGTGTTTGTGTATCTGATCTGTCATTGTTGAAAATTTACTTTATTAATGCCTCATTTTATCACAGATTAGATTGCAGAAATGGATTCCTGGCCTAAAAACACATAGGAGTAGAGCTTTGTGGGGTCTTTCTTGTTGTTCTATAGAAGTTATAGAAGATTTTGTTGAAATTATGCTGAATAATTTCTTATTTTTTCTGTTATCTAACCTCAAATCATTGTAATGCTTCATGTTATCACAGAAGTGATAACAGAAATGGATTCCTGGTCCAAAAGTACATTGGCATGGAAAGTTTCAGACGTTTACCATGATTTTTGGTGATTTTATTCTGAAAAGTGTTCAGGCCAAGTGTACCGTGTTGAGATTTTCTGTTTATAACGCAAAATTGGCAGATTTCCCATTTTTGTGGTTCCATAACAGATTAAATTGAAGTGCCAGAACTCTGAAAATAAATTGGGCTAGGAATTTGCATTACTGTGAATATGTTTTGTAAGTTTCATTTCTTTTCAGCAATCACTTTCCATTTTATTGATGTCTGAAATCAGTCTTTTTTGCATTTTTGAATTAACATTATGCATCAAGGAGTAATTATTATCCAATTTTAAGTCTCGGTGTTTGCTTTAATTAAACTCTGATTGTCCTCATCTTGGTATTATGCATACTTTACACTGGCACCTGTTGAAACAAATGATAACGCACACTTTATGTACCTCAATAAATTTTCCGTGAACTCACAAAATCGCACTTTTTTGCGTGATTTTAAAGTTGCCAAAAATTTACGACGTCCACAAATTTCAAACGCATGTCATTTTTTTATTTATTGTCCGATTTCTATAATTCAAACACCGAAGTTCATGGTTTGTATAGTTCTTTATGATGCAACAAACATATATTTGATCAAAGCACTTTGAAATTTGGGTTTGTGGTACCTACATTTACAATTCTACTATGCTTGAACGAGAAATGTCCCCCCTTTTGGGAATGGCCTAAAAACACTAGTCAGTGGCACTGCCCCGGGGGGATACCAGCATGTCCACTGACAGGACAAGCACACATACCATGTAGCCTGTGACGGGGGCCTCTGGGGGAGCAATCCGAAGACCTTGACCCAAAATTCCAGCCCAGTTTGTGAGCCGAGAGCCATGCCAAAGCAACATCCTGAATACGGAGGAGAACATTTCAAAATCCAACACACAATATCTGACTGAAACATTATGCTCTCCTTTTCTGTTTTGCACACAATCGAGATAAAAAGTTTGGGCCAAAGCTCTTTCAAATTTACAGAATAAAGAAAGTAAAAGAGGATGAGGCAAAGAAAACATCACTTTGTCTATCTTTCTGGAATTATTTTTGCTAAAGCCATTGAAATGGGCCCAACGCTTGGCACATTTACAGTGTGTTTCTAGCTGCATGCACCCTTAAAATTCAGTTTTAGTAAAGTTGTGTGTACTTGCATCACAATAAGGTCAATAAAGTGCCTAAGACTAGAGGTGTCACAAGAGATTTACAAGCACAAAAAAGGAGGAGAGATAAGGATATTTCTTTAAAGATGGATGTTAGATAGGAAAGAAGGAGCAACCACACCAGAGAACCCACTATCTACCCACATAACATTTGGAGAATTTGAAAAAGGTGTGCAGCACAGAGGAAATGTGACCCTTGGTGCAAAATTGTCATTGTTGTTGAAATGCAGTGACCTCTGTAGAGTAAACCATTTAAAGTTGTGTACTTTCAAGCAAAGCTGGTGTTATTTTTTACAATCAACAAAGAGAAGATGTCAGGAACAGCTTCGATTTTAGCAGGGCAAAAAATATTCCTGAAGGTCAACAGCATTTCAAACCTATGAGCAAATTCCCAGTACATTTATTCAAAAGATAATTGAGGTGTAACAGTGCAAACAAAGGCACAAGGAAGTAAACAGACAAATAGACAGTCACATCTTGCTATCTCTTTATTCATTGCAAGTGGCGCAAGAACAGCCGCTTCTCACCTACAACAGATTAGAAATGAAAATAAAGGTACTCGCAAGAAAACAACAAAGCATGCCACATCAGAACACCTACAAACCCTCATTGACCTGGATGAGTTTGTTGAACTCCACTGACCTGTTGCCAAAATCCTGGAACTGCGAGGCCTCCCCATCCTTCTGGCACTCGTAGACGTCTAGTAACTCCATCTTGTACATGTTGTGTGTTGCTGCATGTGTCTGCTGTAGGTACTTGTTGATCCACTGTGGGAGGAACATTGGGGGAAGGGGGGGGGGGGGGGGGGAGAGGATATATAAGGAGAATAGAGAGAGAGAGGGAGGAAGGGGAAGAGGTGGGGAGGGGGGAGGTTGAGGGTTGAGATGCATTTGAGATGAATTTACCAGTGAGTCAGCAAAGAAAAGACAGCTTCACTTTACTAAGAACACTGATCAGAAATTCACATCTGGGAAGTCCTGAAGCCTAAAGCCACTGGTTCTCACTTGCTGCTTGCACTCCACACAACACACAACACCCACAAGCATGTGCACAGAATATTAAATAGCTTTAAAGAACAAAGCCCAAAAAATGTATCTATCTTTTATTCCCTTAGGCATCAGTATCACCAGTGGGGGTCGAACACGTATTTACGGGTCATCACGGTGGAATCATCTGCTTGTCAAATTCAAAATCAACATTTTCTTACTGATCGATTGCTACACAAATCTGTCTGGATTGTCCTTTTTGTTGTGATCACACCAAGTAAATCCAGTCTGTCCAGTTAACTCGGATGTGATCCTATATGGGGCAAGTATTGTACCTACTCATCGAGATTTACCACGTAGATGTGTGATCACATTCACAAGAGTGAGTGATCTGTGACACAATGATAAAAAATCCCCCCCCCCCCCTCCCCCCTTGGAGGATCAGCTGCGCTTGCTGCGTTTCTTATTCTGTAAATTATTATCTGAAATACGGGATCTTAGCAAAATGTAGTTTTTCAGAATGGGATATAAGGGGTGTCTTGTACAAAATAAAAATTCTGTTTTCTTAAAACAACAGGATTATAAAGCAAACCAGGATCGAAGCAGTGGGATCTAAGGTGGAGACTACTGTATCTTTATTAGTTTCACGTTTCTCTTTTGAAAATGCAGCATGCAAGTGCAATAATAATGGTAAAAACATCCTCCCAGAAACATTGTTTATAGTTTTTATAATGACGACTCACCTTGAATTCGTCTGCACCATGATCCAAGGCCTTAAGTTCACATTTGAGCTGATGATAATGTCTGTCCACCGGGTTCTCGGACTTATCCCCACCTTGCAGCATCTTGATGGCAATCTCAATATCCTCAAGAGCCTGCACAGAAGTAGGAAATAAATATGAACAAATCTTTAATGAATATCAGAAGTGGAGCTGAGAAAGTCTCAAAGAGTTGGTACTGGTCACACGTCAGGGTCAGGAACAGGTCACGATAACTAATAACAACATTGAAAACTAGGAGCAGATTGCCCCAGACCACCCACCTACTACCTGCAAATAGAGGGAGACAAATTATGATCCACGTCTTTTACAATACAACTTATAACACTTTAAATTTGTCATTGCGGAGTTCTAAGGATCAAATTTTTAGCTTGTCCTGTTATCTTTTTTAGACCCTAGCAGGTTTTTTGTTTAGTTTTAGTAGAGGATTTACGGCGCTCGCAAATGCATAAGGTCATATGAGCGCCAACTAGCAGGTTTGTATTCTAATTCATTCACTTAGCTCCCTTTTGTCTTCAACATTATAGAGAAAACAGCGCAGCAATTACATATGAATAAAAGAGAGCACAAGAGGACAGAAGAACTAAGTTAGTAATGACAAATTTTTCTTCAAAAGCAGGAAATAGGTGAAAGTGGATGATAATTTATAACCAATACACTCCATGACAATACCCATTATCAGTGGTCGCAGGAAACTACATTGTGTTGTGACTTCACAAAGTGAAAAAATTACTATCATACCTCCAACAGCTCCAGCTTTTTCTTCACCATTTGTGGAGTCCGGATAAGAGGTGGCGTCTGCATTCTAAAAGGAAAGAAAAATATTAAATCTAAAAGAAAAGAAAGCATTTACGAAGGTAGGTTTCATGATTCATGGTATACATTTTAAGTTCCCTCACGCAGCTTTGAAATAAAGTCTGGGACTAAAAGTTTTATATGAAGAAGGTTGGTGTCAATACGTGGGAGAGAGCGTGGGTGTGCATTCATGCATGGATGTACATCTGCAAGAGAGTATGTATATACATGAGAATGAACTTCAAAACGCAGTTGCAGAAGTGTGGACACACATGTCCTGTTTACAGTACTGCAGATTTACCAAGTTTCCATCTGCTTACAGCTGGTGTCCACTTGAAGCAACATGCAAGGAACAAAAGTTATCTTATCTTGCTCATGGTCACAGAGGTATACCTTCTTCATCCCAGCTTTTGAAAATTCAAAATTAGCTAATAAAAGTCTTCCTTTGTCAAAATCATTCCACTGTTATAATACCTCAAGAAGGTGCCTTGGATCTATATGTAGACATTTAATCCTGTGAAGTCCAACCACTGACTCCAACAATACATATACTTCCCAACCAAAGCTACATAATCTCACTCTCGTTACAAAAAAAAAAACAAGCAGCAGTGGCAATGCAACCTCCCATATAATATTTTAGAATACAGTAATGGCTATAAATGCTAAACCTATGACAAATCATAATGGTTCTCTAAGATGAAAAATGACAAAAAAGATTTCCCCATCCTAATGAACAAAACACAAAAGAAACCTTTCAAGGAAAGTAAAAGTGAGAAGCATGTCAAGCACAACTCACCCAAATTCATGTGGAATCCTGGTGTAGAACTCACTGCAGGCCTCAGCCAGATTGCGTCCAGTGTCATTCTTCTCAAGTAAACTCTCTATCTCCTTCAGCGCTGTGTATCCAGCTTTTATCTGGTCTTTTGTCAACTTACCTGACACCAGAATGAAAAATGATAGCATCAAAGTTTGAATAACTTTTGCCGATGTCTCAATTAGGTAAAATACACTAGATATTTAAAAACAAGCTCTCTGAGAGAATCTGTTTGCTGATTTCTAGGTGAGTCAAAGAGCAGTGTATATTATAATGAAGCACTTTTTTTATAGTGTCAGTCATGAAGTAGTCAACAAGAGAAAAGTTGGTTTGGATATTAGTATATTGTATGTGTTTGATACCCCTGGAAAAATTGTGAGGTAATTTAAGAAGAGGGACCATACCAGTTTTAATGCCTATCTGAAATGTGGCATATTCAAGAGGGTGAAGCAAATGGAGAAAGAAAAATTGGTAGACCAACAGGCAGCCCTATAGGTGCAATCAGAGACGAGGCAATCACCCAGGGGCTTGTTGTGACAAAATAGAAAGAAGCGGCAAAGGTCAGACAGGACAGCTTTCTACCTCGAGTACCTGACAGAACAGGGAGAGAGTAAGTAAGTGGGTGAAGAGCCATAAAAAATACTTTCCTGAGTTGAGAATTACATTGTCAGAGGTTCAAACTTGGGTAACTTATAGCACGATACCAGCTGAGATATTGATGAACCCAAAGCTTATTTCAAAAGAGAGGAAATTTATTCTTTGATTCTGTCTCATAAAACATAATTTCAGAGCTTTTCTAGGGCATTTCTTTCATTTCCAGAGTAAAATTGTAGCTGCAATTGACATAGATGGGGATAATGAATGACAATAAGATTCAGAAAACCTTTTTAATGATCACCTGAGGAACAGAGGCAGCAACATTACCTACCCAGAGGAGCCTTTTTGGCATCATATTTCATCTCCACCACAGCATCCTCCATGGACTTGACATTACAGATCAGATTGACCAAATCCTGTGGCATGACAAAGAGCATACAAAAGTGCCTCTCCAAAGCGTACACAGAAAACAGTATGCAAATAATAATTAAAAAGCAATGCCACTTTTGCTCCCCCATCAACACAGTTGAGGTCAGTTCAGGGACTGGCTGCTTCAACCTGTCTGTCAACACCTACTGTGCATATGAAGCATATTACACTCTAGTACAAAGGTGGAGAAACACCTTGTTAGGAAAGGGTGGGTTGAATATACATTTACAAGAGAGAAAGAGATAGAGACAGAGAGAGAGAGAGAGAGAGGGGGGGGGGAGGGAGAGAGAGAAAGAGAGAGAGAGAGAGAGACAGAGACAGAGACAGAGAGGCAGAGAGACAGAGAGACAGAGAAACAGAGATAGAGACTCAAATCACAAATCTTGATGCAAGCTAAAAAAAACGTAACCATTTTACGACAGGTGCCATTAGAGCACTGCTGTATGTCTCAGGGACCAGGATGATCCGTTACAATGAGTAAGCAGGTCAAGTGAGGTATTGTGAAGAATGTGAGCCTTACAAAAGAGGGGATAAGCCACTTCCACTCATTTACTGAGCTCCCATCTTGTGAAGCCTTAAGCTGTCCTAAGGAGAGGAATCCATGAGGGTAGGTCTTGTCCGCATGGAACTGAACAATCTGTCCGACTTCTGCTACTGCTTAACACTTTGCCATCACAAAGCTCATAATATAGTAAAAACTCTTGCCACTCTTGAAGAAAATCCAAAGAAACTGGGTGGTAAGGATCGCCAATCTGCGAGATGATGCGGCAAAGTCTTAAGGTCATCCACAAGGGAGAATAAGTTTTCTCACTGTCAAATAAGGAATAAAACTTGGCCTGACTGGACGGCTTAGTTCTTTAAAAACAGGACATTGACATAACTGCAAATAGTTTCGAACAGTTTTACGTAGAATTTAACAATACTCTGGTAGCCTCCACAGACCATTACAGTTTCCACAAGGAACTAACCTGTAATTTTTTCTCCAGTTTTGAGTCCGGAGTTTTTACATCCTCTTCCTCTCCAGTCTTGATAGAAGCATCAACCTGATCTTCAGTTTTCTGCAGTGAAAAGTACAAAGATGGAAGATAGCAGATGAAACAATATGACAATATAAGCTGAAGCGTTCTACAAACAGGTTCATTTGATGATGGTGTATATTGATTGACAAGATAATCGTTAAGAAATCTATAAGAAGTATCAGTTAGTAGACATAAAAGAATTATTTTCTTCTTTTCTTTCCTCTTCTTCTCAGCAGTTTTGACTTGGTAGTAACAATTATGTTTAAGTTAGAAAAGAAAAAAGAACTGTTTGGTACTACTGTATTCGGGGTTTTTTAAATAATAAATCAGAAAAAATTTTTATCAGTTTGAATTTGTACAAGTCTGTCAGATCAGAATGACTTACATCATCTGTACTGTAGTCCATTTTGAGCAGATCGTATTTCCCAGGATGTTTCACAAAGTTGTCCCTCAAAGCCCAATCATTGGCTGTCTTGTCTCTAAACCTGTTGAACAGTTGAGTTCTTAATATCAAGCCTGTATAAACGTAACGACTTGACTTTCAACCAATCTACAAAATACTGCATCCCTAAATATCAGAGTCCTAGTTCTACACAGTTCTGCTCCTGAGGGAACATGTTTCCCTACACCACACAAGACGCCTTCAGCAGATTTCGATGACCATGTCAAAAAGATATGATGGTGCAATGTTGTTGACGCACTTAAAACAAAGAACAATAATTTTGTACTGTATTCGTGCTTTCAACGGGAGCCAATGTAATTGAATTAGCATTGGCGTTACATGTTCTTTGATAGATTTCTTTAAAATTATGCCAGCAGCTTGGTCCTGGAGTCGCTATAACCTATTTAACGTTTCAGTGGGAAAGTTTCCAAACAAAAAATTGTAGTAGTCTAGACCTGAAAGGTCAAAAGAAGAGATGAGGGTTTTGATAGATAAACACTAAGATATGCTGACATATGTCCTATTCTGGGGAGTTTAAAATAAATGACTTTACATAGATGGTTTATATGATGATGCATAGATAGTTTGCAGTCAATAAACGCCTAGATTTTTCACTTTATCAATGAAAAAGATGTTATCATTCCCAAATACATATATGGTCAAAATTGCAAAGCAATATCCCTGGTTTCGCATTGCAAAACAGAACTTCAATCTTATCATCCTTCATTTTAAGTCTGTTTGATATCATCCAGTTTTTTACATCAACAATACATTTTTTCATTCTGGTGACTAGACAATTAAAAGATGGAGGTAATCGATAAAATTGATTTTCATCAGATGTTCATGGATATACATACGTGAAAAGTGCCAGGAATAGTGTGATAATAGGGAAAAAGAGTCTCATACAGATAATGTTTTTGTGTATATGTGATGGGAAACAACTCAAAGTGTGACTAAAACATGATGCCCTTAGGCCAGAATGTTCATTCAGAAATGACCTACAATTAATTTATGTCCTGTATTGATAGCACGAGGAGCAGTTTAGTCCTTGAAATTACCAAAAATGAAGGGGGGTAATTAGTGCAAAAAAATAATTGTGAGGCATCCTGGTGAAATCAGGCGTTTGTCAAAATAACGATATTGAGCAAACAGTATTTTTTGGGGGGGTTTTGCAATTTTTTATCAAATTTTTCTTATTTGGCTCAACGCCTACTTTTATGTCTGATGTGGCCTAGTGGTTAGGCTCTCGGACTCGCAATCGTAAGGTCGTGGGTTCGAATCCCGTGAGGGGCCCGACGTTGTGTCCTTGGGAAAGGCACTTTACACAAATTTTCCTCACTTCACCCAGGTGGGAATGGGTACCCGGCTATAGACAGCGAAAGATCGTGTCAGTTTGTTAGTGTTTGAGCGCTTAATCGGCAGCTCGCACTGTATGCTTCCCGGGAAGCTGAGAATGCTTCGGAGTGTTCTATGGTCTGCTGGGGTAATAATATAGTGTAAAGCACATAGAGCCTGCTGTTGAGCGGGGATATGCGCTATACAAATGCTATCTATTATTATTATTATTATTATTATGTCTATTTACAAACACATTTCTGTGTGGATTTTACTGAAAGACGTTGACTAAAGGCACAAAATAAGTACATTTTCATTTTCTAAGGACTCTCAACCTATGGAAGTTACCAAACTTTGGCTGCCATTTCCTCCATAATTTTACCTCTGATGCCAGGTGACCCCCACCTTCTTCAATCACAAATATTTCTACTTCTATTCAAGATAGATCGATATTTTTTCATCAAAAGCAAGACAAATGAACAGGCTTTAAGATGGTATAATTATCTCCACATGCCCAAAAATAGACGAGCGCCTGATTCTACCGTGCTGTGACACAACTGGTGTTCTTCACTTGTTACATCATCATATGTTTCTTCAGGAACTGTCCAGATGCCTTCGCTGCTATGCTCTTCTCTTTCATCTTCTCTTTGGCCTCGACTTTCACTTCAACTCTCTACCTTCTCGCATCTGTTCCCAGATTCTGAAGTAAATCTCTGTTAAGGTCGGGTCCCTCAGGCAGGCATCTTTATATCATTGCAAAAGCTGACATTTCTTTCTCCATCCATTTACCAGTTTTCTATACAGGAGGTCTTTTGACATCACTCTAGCTTCTAAGAAGCAAACATATCCCAACAGGCACAATATTGTTACTAACATTAGCATAAAAAACTGGAACCAACTGCAACAACTACAGTAAAAATAACATAAGGAAGAACAAAAGACAAAGGAAACGGATTTTAAGATTTTGTTTTAGTTTACATTTCTTACCTCTGAGGACAGAAACAAATGCCATCGACAAGCCAACCAGAGAGAAAAAAAGTGTTAAAAATCTAACTTTGTGAGAGACTGCTCTATGGCTTAAAAGTTCAGAGAAGATTTACTTTTTCTGAAATATTTTCTTGGCATCATCAACAGAGCCAGCACAGTTGGTCAGCTCATTCTGCCCATTGTAGCCTACACGACCCCAGCGCATCCACACGTGGAACGAGTCTTTGCCCTCTTTCTTAAGCAGCTGGATTAAGTAGAACTTGTTGTTGTTGTTGGAAATGTTTGTCTGTCAGAATAGAATTTAAAAAATTTTCTAGTTTTAGTAAGAGTTTTACTGCACTTGCAAGACAGTTAGAGCCGAAGATTAGAGGTGCTACAAAAGAGATAAAGACAATTGACGTTTGATAAAAAGGAAGGAGCAAACCACACCGCAGCACTTGCCAACCACCAACAGAATGATATGTGGACAGAATTTGGTAGTAAAAGCGAAAGATACAGACAGAACACACTTGCCTAGTATCAGGGAAGAGCGCATTCTTTTTGGAAAACATCACATGGGTACCAAAATGCACATGTAGAACCAACAAGTGGCATTCTCCATCACAAATGTAAAAACTTAAAAGAGAAGTATGATAACAAAACAAGGATCTTACAGTATCAGGGGAAAGCAAGACAGACAGGCACGAAGAAAAGGATAGCAAAAAAGTTAAGTCCTAGAGCGGTACATACCCCACATTCGTCCTCTAAACAGCCAACAAATTGCCCATGTGCAATGACACAATATACGCCAAATCTGGACACTCCATAATCTTATGATAAGAACTGTTGTGAGAACAATTTTCACTCCCCAAAATGCACTGTCTCCCTCAATATTGACAAGATTGTATTTAGTTTATACTTGTTTTTCGAGAATAAGTTTTCTTTGTTTTTCTGTTTTTCCATAAATGGATAGTGTTCTGCCACTCAGCCCACCACATGATCAAGCAATTCACTCCAATGACAATGGTCGTTACAACCTTGATGAGCATACAGAAGGCTGATGTCAATGCCTTGAAGAAGAAAAAATGAATTTTATATTCCCTAAGACTGCCTTTGAGCCATGGGTTGTACAAGTGTCAAGTGAACTAGTTTCACTTTTAGAAGATCTTTATTTCATACTAAGTTAGACCCACAGCGGAAATAAGATAACAATATCTTTGTTCGTTTCAGTAATAGTTTTACAGCACCTGCAACACAATAAGGTCATTTAATTGCCAACAGTGTTACAGGAGAGTGACAAACATAAAAAAGAAGGAGCAAAGATAAGGACGATAAATTATGTTTGATAGAACAGAAGGAACAAACCACATCAGAGCATCCGCCAGCCACCCACATCAATATCTAAATAAAGCAGCATATTAGAAACATATGAGAAGAGTCAAGAGAAAATGTGAGAGCATGCTTTGGGAAATAGCTGTGATGTGGTATCAGTGAGTCAGAAAAGCATTTCAAAAGAAACAGAAGACTACTCATGACATTGGAAAGAAGTAGAGTGAACACAAAGCAGACACCAACAAGCCACTGACCTGGTTGAGCATACAGTCCCACACGACATTGCCTGCGGTGTACACCTCACTGCTGTCTGCAATGGGACACAGGGAATCCACAGGCGCAGACCCTTTTTTTACCTTGACCGTCCTCACTGTAACAAGAAAAAGGAACTCAAACTAAAAAACACAACCAAACTACACACTGAAGGTTATTCAGAGCACACTGTGAGCACCAAACTCAAACAAAAGCTGGGTTGTTTTTTTTAAATATTATTTAGGAAATACATTGTAGGAAGAACTGGTCATGCCTCTCAAAAGGAACCTGTTTGATTATCATCTTTAAAATGTTCCGTAATCACCAATGCACAGTACTGGTTGACTTAATAGGTACAACTGCACAATTGGTTGTCAAGGTTATACCTCTATTGCAACATACTTTAGATCATTCAGAAGGTGGGTAGCATTGACCATGATTGTCACAGTCAACTCAGGTTGTGGGGGGAAACTACAACAGAAAGACAAAAACATTCCATAAAAATATCTTCCCCACGCAGGAATTCAACAAAGGTCTTTTGCAAGCAAAGCAAAGAGTCTTTAGTAACCACAATACTACTGACACAGATCTCAAGTACAACATGTTCTATTAATTGTGAGGGTGTCAACTCCAAGAGAAATCCAACCCACACCAACAACACTACTACCATTCCACATACCAGTCGATTTTGTAGCAGCACTTTTCCCTTTTCCTCGTCCACTTTTCGGCTTGGGCTCCTCTTCTTCCATTTCTTCCTCTTCTTCCTGCTCCTCCTTTACAGGCACAGTAACAACACTGTCCTAAAATATATAAAAAAACTAGGTGTGCAGCTGTTACTTTCTTTTTTAGAAATCTACAAATTTGTAAGGCATGAAAATGATGCATACTCTACTGTAAACAAAAATAAAGTTTAAATTAAAAAAAGGGTACATTGAGTGGGCCTTGCAAATTCAGAGACAGTTCAGAGTGCAAATGAATATTCATGTTATTATCCCCTTTCCATGGTGTCTAAATATTTAGGGAAAAAGGAACACTCGTAAAAAAAATTGCATATTATATAAGTTATACGCTTATTCAAATGTGTGAGGATGCAGGAAGCTGTTCTATTCTTAAAAGCAGCTCAAATGAGTTTCATTGCTTTTAAAAGATTCCTCGGGTGTTTCCTTGTGCCATGTGTACTTGAGAGGTTCCAGTGTCTTCTATGTTGTATTATGATTATATTAATGTCACTATGGTGGCAAAAAGAGCAGTCTTCAACTCATCACTAAACTGTATATATTATGGAAGTTATGATTCATCTACTTTTTTAATCAAATGTTTCTCTGTCAACTCTGAGGCCTCCTTTGCAGAAGCCTAGTCTGTTTGTCAAAGGCAACAGCTTGACAAAGTTTACTCGTTGCCAATAGACTCAAGATTCCTTTAACTTTCTTTTTGGTTCCTTGCAACATACAAATATCTATACAAACTTTTTAATTTTTTTATGTATCATTATGTTTTATACAAAAACAGAGAATGGATGACACATAATACATCTTTTACAAAAGTCTATTACACTAGACAAAGCGGTGGATAATAAAACAGGTGTGGCGACTGGTGGGAACAAGGAAGACATGGAAACTTTTATGATTCAAGCGAATGACTGAGAAGACAGCCACCAGGCTGAGAGAGGCCAAGCAAACTTGTAAGAAAACTGTTTCCGTATAATTTTAATAATTGCCAGAGAAACTTTTGCAAAATGTGTTCTTTCAACCTTCAATAGCCAACTGAAACTCATCTTCTATCTTTCATGCACTACGTTCTTCCCTACAATCACTCACGCCAGCCCCACTGTCTAAGACGAAATCTGTTTGAAGCCTAGTTTTTATTCTGAACCTCTGATCTAACACATTCATTTTTCTTTGCAAAGATATTGGACTGACGAATATTGACCGAAAAAGGCTCGAACACACAAACAGTCTTGAGCCTAGTCAAATTAATATGAAAACAGAAACTGAAGTTATCTAAACGAGATCAATGAAATATACATGAAATTAGAGTTGGGGCGAGCGGACGGACAGGTTCATTACTCGCGGACTCAGTCAGGGCGAGCGGGTAACTTGACGGCCATGCGAGCGGACTGCAAGCCTCGAGACGGTTCATTTTTTGGGGTCTGCTCCACAATTTTACTCCCTCCTCAGCGAGCGAACAAACTCTAGCCTAGCAGACAAGAGCGAGCGGACTGCGAACCTCAAGTCAGTTCGTTTTTTGGGCCCGCTCCACAATTTTATTCACTAGCAAACGGACAAACTCAAGCAGACAAGCACTCCACGCCAGGTTAGGCCCATCCTCTATTATTTGTTAATTAGGCCTAAAGTTTCAAGCCACAAGTGGAGCCACGGGGAGTGAGGAAGGCTGGTGATGTAGTACTATGTGTGTAACCTCTCACCTTGGGTGTGGGTCACACTGTACATTCTAATTTATCGCGAAGGCAAAGTTTAAAGAATTTCAAAAGGACGACTTTGGGGGGGGGGGGGATAGAGAACGCCAAGCTATAATGTGAGGCAGGAGGGTAATTTAACAATTATTTTAGGGGGTGGGGTATAAGTAGTACACAATGAAAGGGGTTGCTAAACGAACTGTTGACTCTGCGGCCGATGTGTAGCAAGTAGTGAGTAGCGAACGGAGCTTCACAAGCACACGGCTCCTTACCCGTCCGCTCGTTTGCGAGTAGTTCAAGCAATTTTTTCGTTACTCGCGGACGCTGATTTAGCGAGCCCGATCCAACTCTACATGAAACCATTAGACCGATAAGGAAAACACAAAAGTGTGTTTTCTTCAACTTGAACAAAACAAAGAAAAAGTAGATGAAACAAGACACCGAGAACTGACTTACCCCTGTGAAATCATACTTGTTAGCCTTTTTCACAAAACTGTCTTTGTTATCCCAAAGGTTACCTGTTTTGGCCTTAAATCTGTAAAAATGTAAAACATTCTAATAATTTCTGAAAATGAGAAAAGCACAAGAAAATATTACTTTAGTTTACAAGACTGAAAGCACTACCGAAAGACGTACAAGACAAGACCAAGAATAAACTTTCTTCCCTTGCTCAGCTATAGTTGAATTCAGAATTTATTCTAAGGGGCTCATACAATCTGAGAGTGCTGTTCTATTAGGTGATGATTGTGTCACAAACAAAACCTCTTTCCTTATGATCAAGGTAGGAAAATTTTCCATCACAGCTAAAGTCCAAGTTATGACGGACGGATTTTAAGTTCAAAACAAGAGTAACTTTCTAAGAAAGAACAGAAATAGCAAAACTATGCAAGGGGGGCTGACCTTTGGGCAAGCATCTCTGAGAAGAAGGGACTTGAAAAAAGAAAGAAAGCGAATTTACATTTTTATCATTAGGTCTGGCTACATTGTCATCCTTCCCTCTCAATCAGTGGTATATAACTTACTTTCACCATTAAAAACTTACAATGCAATACCAATATTTTGACTTCTAGGATTAAGTATTAAGTGAGATGCTCTTTCTTTTTAAACAAAAAGGAGAAAGAACATAATAATTACACAAACAATTATCTCCCCAAACAGAGACAACAAAGACAACATACTTTTCCATGAAAACATCTTTGGCGTTTTCCAACTGTGCTCCAAATCTTGTGAGTTCATGAGTACCATCACAACCCTCTTTTCCATAGCGAATCCACAAGGCAAACTTAGAAGCCGTTTCTTTCACAATCTGAAGCAGGTAGAATTTAATGGATGTCCCAGAAGCACTGGTCTGCAAAGACAGAAGAAAGATATAAAACATTCAGAGTCAAACACAGTGCTATCATGCTGTGCATTTTCTTCAAGGATATGATTCTAATGAATAAAAAGCATAGGATGTTATAATGGCAATACATAACTCGATTTAAGTAGGAAAAGAATATGGATTGCTAGACCAAAGTCATCTGCACTGATAATCCTGGGCGGACAAAGTAAAGTGTTTGACTTTAAAAACAATGAGTTCAGTTTCCTGCTGTCTGATAGAACAATAAATTCTTTGGAAAGACACTATACCCCCATTTTCTTCAACTTATAGCACAGCCAATAAGTACAGGGTGCTGTGCTGTAGTGAATTGCTATAGCATGTCTTGTAATATTTGCTGTACTAATATCAAATTGTGTTTTCTGTGATGTTAATATAACCCAAGAATTGTTTATATAAATGTGTATACATTGTATATGCCATTGATACCAAAAATTCCCAATAAGATGAAATAGAAGTGATATTTTTCTTTTCTTATTTACCTGCAGATGACTTTGCAACAAATGTATAAAAACAAAAACAGCAGAAGGAAATAAAGAAGTAGGTCCTACCAGTGTTGCCCTCACAAACCACCTACATGTAAACTAAACTTACCATCTTGTAAAGGGAAAACCATTATCAACTCATCCAGGGAAAAGACCAAAAAGAGGTCAAGTGTCAGTACCTGAGTAAGATAACAACTCCAAGCAACTCCATCTTCCACATACACAGATGCAGACTTAGCTGTGCAGTTTGGATCCACAGCAGGTACAGATCCTTTTGCAGTCCCAGTGGTTTGACCTAATCAGAATCAGACAGATGATCACATTAAAATACAGTCAAAATTGTCCTAGATGGTAGGGGTCGTTTGTACACGTGATTGTCTTGAACAGGAGGCCATTAGAGCAGGATTGACTGTAAGCGGTCTGACAACAATATGCTACATTCACTGTGTCAAGTTATAAAAAATCTTCACGTTGCGTCATGGAAACTGAACATGATGGAAAACAGTTTCAATTTCCTGGGGGAAAAAAGCCAATATTCAACATCTGAGGCTAAGCTGTATATCTTTAAAGAAGTATCAGACCTCTCAATTTCTACTCCTCAAATGAATCTTGCTAGTTCAGCTGAAAACTAAAAAACTTAGCATGTAATACCTTAAATTTTTGTTCGAACTTTGATAAATTTACTCTTGGGCTGTAATGCAGAGATAATTTTACTAGGAAAGTAAATCTTCATGATCTGATTCAAAAGGTAGATCTACTTGTCACTAAATTACAAGATTTATAACAGATCAAAGTCTTTGCCCTGGTATCTTACAGTAAAAAGTAAAGTTGTTCCCGCATCCGATCCGGACTTTGGGGATTGCCTTGTTAGTGAGACAACTTCCTGGGCCTTTGGCACATTGTGGTAGGGCGGCCAGTTCCTTTCCACGCCGCTTTTACTTCCCCAACTCGAAGTCAGGTACCCATTACTGCTGGGTGGGCAGGAGGGGAAAAAAAAAACCCAGAGACGAGCGCACTAACCGCTCTGCCACCGCACCCTCTATCTTATAGTAAGTAAATTTATTCAGTGTTTAAGGCCATTGGCCCTCATCACATCATATAAAACACTTATTTATTATTAAATATAATTTCCATTATGAAAAAGTACAGGTTGTGCCCATCATCTCTTATCATGGGTCAAACATTGCATGTTTCTGTAACTGTGCCAAGTCAGGATGGGAGGAATTAACAATTTCTTTTGATGGACAAAAGTATGCCCTAGCATCAAACTAATACAAATGAATGAGGTTGGTGGTGGAGGGAAAAAATCGCTTTTTATGGAAAACTGTAAAACAAAACAAAATGTTACAAGATTACCTGCACCATTGCTTTCCTTTTTTACACTTGTTTTGTCATCTTCCTTCTCCGCCTCCTCCGCCTCCTCCTCCTCATCATCATCAGGTGGAACATCACTCACTGAGGAAAATCCAATCTGTGCTGATATAGCTTTTCTGAACTTCCAATTCCGAAATGACTTTCAGTTCTGGGAGTTTGCTAGTCACAGCTGAGAGAGCATACTTCGCCAATCACTGCACAGGTTTAGGGGAGTATTCTGAGAGGAATTTATACATAATGGAATCCACAAAAACAAAAATCTGCAGGACTGCTGGATTTTCTTAAGTTTTGCCAGGTTTTGGGTTTAGATAGGCAGCTCAAATAGAAGTAAAGAAATCAGGGTTTATATTTTCTTGGTTTAAGCAGACTCCACTGTACATTGTTAAAAACTTCCCCATGAAAAGTACAAAACTACCCACCATCAGTGTGTTAATAGACAGGACTCACATGATGAAAAGAATAATTTCTATTTTGTACAATCACAGGGGGAAAAAACTATTAAATTCAAAGAAGAGAATTTTAACAGCTGTGAGAACTCTTCTTTTCAATTCAGTAGTTGGACTTGAACTCATAACCTTCCCATTCAACATTCAAAGCCAGAGCACTAAAACTGTAGTACCGATAACAACAACTGTAGACAAAAAAAAAAGATGAACTAGAAAACGAGAGACTTGTAAAAAAAGGAACCCAGAATAAACATCTAGTATAAATTAATGCATGAGACTTGAAGGCAAATGTGAAAATTTATGTGTTAGAAAACAGAGCTCATGCAGAGAGCAAATTCTCCAACTCTAGAAATAAAAATTAGATTCAAATCTCAAAAACTGTATGTTTGCCAAGTTCACTAAGAAACTGTAATCAGTACAAAATATTACAACAAGAGCTGAACTGTACAGAGGTTCCACATAGGCCTACAAAAAAACATTTTAAAAAGAGCTGTGACAGAACCCATCCTTTTGCTAAGGAGAGAAAGAAATAGTTGACAAATCATTTAACAAAAAAACAACTAAATAAAGCACATCCATTAAATTAAAACAAAGCAACTGTCAGGTAGAGGTGGGCCAAGAATCGATTCCAGAACCAATTCCTGCGATTATTGCTTCTGAGAAAAAGAACCGATCCTTTTTTCGTAAACTAACAATTCTCAATTACTCTATTTTTATCTTATTTTTTCTTCAAAGAATGTATTTTTGAAAAAAAAATGTTGGTGCTTTGCTATGTTCTGAAATCGAGGTTATCCTGAATCTTGAAGACTTAAGAAAGAGTAGTCGGGATGCAAATTCATTGTCAAAGATTATATCGATCTAGTATACAGTGTCAAAACTTATTCGTTGCTTTCGCCTTTTTCTCATTCATCTGTTGTTTTTAAATTATATTCCCTTTTCTTTCAATTCAAAATCTAAAACTGTAACGTCTGCCCACAAGGCTCTATATCATAGACTCTCATTTCTCTGTGTAGGTCAGTGTTGGTCTCTGACTTCATACTGCAGAGATTGGGTGGGGCAGTGCCTGGGGTAGTGCCCTCCAACCCCAAGTAATCAAAGGGATCGGACTACTCGTTACTCGTCGGAAATAATTGCAGGGGTCGGACTAATCGTTACTCGCCGGAAGTAGTCACAGGTATCGTTACTCGGCGGAAATAGTCATAGGGATTGCCACTCTGCGGAAATAATTGCTGGGGTCGGACTAATCGTTACTCGCCGGAAGTAGTCATAGGTATCGTTACTCGGCGGAAATAATCGCTATTGTCGGACTAATTGCTACTTGCCGGAAGTAGTCATAGGTATCGCTACTCGGCGGAAGTAATTGCAGGGGTCAGACTAATAGCTACTCGCTGGGAGTAATTCCAGGGGTCGGACTTATTGCTACTCGCCGGGGGTAATTGCAGGGGTCGGACTAACTGTAAATTGCTGTATATATAATCATGATACTGGCTAAGGGTCACAGCCACTGGAAGAAATCATAGAGCCACTCAAAGAAATCACATCACTGGCTATATTGAAAGTAATTGAGTTCGGAACCGATTCCTACGATTCCTGGCCTTCAATATTCGGGAATCTTCGGTTACCGAAAAAAACCCGGAACCGCCCACCTCTACTGTCAGGCTCCTATTCCCTTGTAAAACAAACAATTCTGACCAGCAATTTCTCTTTTGATTTTCCGACTGAAATTGGATTTGCAGTTAGTTTGCGTCATCTTCTTCAGATCAATATCATAAGGGACTGGGGTCGACTCCAACTGAACAGATTTCTCTCCTTCTCCAACAGCTTTGGCTATCTCCAAGCAGGTGGCAACACTGTACGAACACCACTTGTTGCTTTCATCTTGCCATGAAGTCACCATGAAATCTGTCAACACAATATACACAAATCTTACAAAGTATTAAAGCCTCATGATTACATACTTGCAAAGAAACCATAGCCCAAACCAGAAAGCCATGATGTCGGCCTTTCAGAGTAAGCTAAAATTACATGTAAAAGATCTCTGCAAAGCAGAGCCAGTTTGCTGTTTTATGGAATTAATATATTGTAATCTCAATGAACAACTGGCTACTCAGAGAACAAAATGAAAGTTAAAGAGAAAGTCTGAGCTGTGAGAGATATTTCACAAGTACCCACAGTGACACAACAGTAACAAGAAATATTAAAAATACAAGCTCAGCTTGCAGTTGAACTGCAGAAATCAGCCTTCACATCCTTACTTGAGAAAATTCAATCAAAGTGTAAATCTGAGAATAAAAAGAGAGAACATTTGTAATCCTGGTAAAGGCCAATCTTATTGACTGGATAAAGAGTATTCCCTTCTCTTCTTTTTAGTAATTCTAGGCCTAATACAGCTAGCTAAGTATTGTTTGATGCACTGGCCATTGAACTGAAACTTTGGGTATAAAGGGAAAAGTGTAGTGGCGTTGCCATGACTACAGCAAACCACTCTTGTATCAGATCCCACACACCACACATCCATTTGCTTCCTCACCATTGTCTTTAGCACTCTTTAGGCCAATCCGAACCCTCCTCTCCCAGCCTGTTTTCTTATTCTTTTGTACCATCTTGTCAAAGAGAACAAGCATCTTTGCACCACTGGGAACAGTCAGTTCAACCTTTCAACAAAAAAAAGGAATTTTAAAAAACAAGTAAATAATGAACAAAGATTTTTATTTGAAGAGTAAAACCAACTTCATCTGCCTTGGGAACAAAAGAACCCTTTTGTGAATACAAAGATATATATATAGTTCTTGTTAAAATTTCATACTTGTATGTAAAAATGACCACACATTTTAGAGGAGTATTATAATTGCATAATCTCATTCAATAGTATAAAAGGCTTTATGATGTTACAAATGAACTATGAAGACACTATGCAACTTACCAATAAGTGTCATTATGCGGTAGAATCAGGCAACTGTCAATTTTTGGCATGAAAAGTTATTGGTATCATCTGAAAGCTAGTTAATTTGCCTTGCTTATGATGAAAAAAATAGCCATCTATCTTGAATAGAAAACGATATATTTGTGATTGAAGGAGGTGGGGGTCACCTGGTTTCAGAAGTAAAATTAGCGAGAAAATGGCCACAAAAGCTTGGTAGCTTAAATAGCTTGAGAATCCTAGAAAACTGAAAGTCTACATATTTTGTTCCTTTAATATAATGTTTTTCAGCAAAATTCACATAGAAATTGGTATGTGAGGCATCGTGGTGAAGTCAGGTGCTCTTCAAAATAACGAAATTGGAGAAACAGACATTTTCTCACCAGTTCCCCAAATTTAATCAAATTTTAGTTTTTTGTTCAACCCTTTTATGCCTAAATAAAAACACATTTCCATGTGAATTATATTGAAAACCGTTCTTTGAAAGCTCAAAATATGTAATTTTTCAGTTTTCAAGGACTCTTTAGCTATTGAAGTTATCAAACTTTGGCGGCCATTTTCTCGCTATTTTTACAGCTGAAAGTAAGTGAACTTACCTCTTTCAATCACAAATATCTTCACTTCTGCTAAAAATAGATGGGTATTTTTTAAATCAAAAGCAAGATAAATGAACAAGCTTAAAGATAATACAGGCCTACCAACAACTCCACATGCACAAAAATTGACTAGCGCCTGATTCCACTGCATCGTGACACATATGGACACAAAAGGTGTTGAGTCAAAAAACAAAAATTCGATAAAAATTGCAGATTTCATTAGTGCCTGATTTCACCACGATGCCTCACATAATTATTGTTATCAGGTCTAATATTCTTAAATATAGCATTACAAACGTGTATTATCATATTACAACTAAAATCATACGATAACCCAGCATATTAGACATCAACTTTCAAATCAATAAAAACATAAAATTTGTTGATTCCTTTCACTATGGCCATAAAACTAAATTAATGTGACCATTGACCATGGTAAAAGAAAACAATTTACCATAACCGACTTTAGTGTGATACTTTCTAGGTTATTACTTAATTTAAAGAAATTTTAAATACACACCTTATCTTTATCTGCACTACATGCATCAGTCAAAATTCTGTTGTATTCCTTGGTGTATCGTACCCATTTCCCTCCATCACCTTCCCATTCAAACCGCATTTTACAACCATCAATTTCAGGAAATGAAAGCTTCGCTTTTTTTGAACTAGTACTTGCAGCAGATGCTGCACTTTGAGACCTTGATGAAGTCCGCTTGGCTGAAAGTAATCAAGAAAAACAATAAGCAGACACTCTAAATACCAAAGTGCAAGGAAATGAGAGCGAGTGTAATACTAAGCGAGCATATATATGTGTTTGCTGCTCTTAAAAAACCACAACAGGATTACCAATATGACTCAAAAGGAAAAAAAAACCTTGCCTGTCGAAAGGCTGGAGTGAAATAACTAAACATTCATTTCAAGTGAAACACTAAGTATATATATATGAAGACAGTCAGTCACTGCTACCTAGGCACAATCCAAGACATTATTCATTATAATTTATAATAAGGCTGGCTCTATTTCTCCGAACGTTCGGGAAAATAAAGTTGAACTCTATTTCTCCGAACGGTTTCCGTTCTCGAGATTTGTTGATAATTATAAGCGAATGTAAGCGAATGTAGTGGCCCGTGTGTGTGTGTGTGTGAGTGTGTATGTGTGTGAGTGTGTGTGTGAGTGTGCATGTGTGTGTGTGAGTGTGTGTGAGTGTGTGTGTGTGTGTGTGTGTGTGTGTGTGTGTGTGTGTGTGTGTGTGTGTGTGTGTGTGTGTGTGTGTGTGTGTGTGTGTGTGTGTGTGTGTGTCTGGTGTATGTAAAGTGTGAATGGAAGTGGGGGGGGGGATTTTTTTTTACATGAAGGATTTTAGTTTTTGCTGGGTGACTGAATGCAAAATAGGTTACTGCCAAGGTCGAGCAGTCTTGTTTTCTCGCAATACCTTTTGATGGTATTTTCAAATGAAGTATAGTCCGGGAACGTTGCCCCAGCCACAATTGAAGTATCTGAATATTTAGACATTTCAAAATACCTTGCTCTAGAAATTGAATGCGATGCAAAAAAAAATGCTTCTTCCCAGTCCTCGCAGAATGGCAGCATGAAAGATAACGCCTAAATCTCGTAAATAACTAAAAAATCTCTAGATCGGAAACCGTTCAGAGAAATAGAGTTCAACTTTATTTTCCAGAACGTTTGGAGAAATAGTCACTTCGTTATAATAAAGTAAGGAACTCCACTCAAATATTTTCTAAATGGACACCCTACTCTTACCCAAGACTTTAGGGGCTCCATAGACCAAGTGATTAATGAGCTCATATTTTATCATGTACACTGCCAAGCAGCATCACGATCAGTGTTGACGGTGACATGCTTTAAAGCAGGTACTCAGTGGTGTACTCTAGGTTTAGAATTAGATCTAGATCTAGATCTAGATCTAGAACAAAAGAGCTAATCTGAGCTAAAAAAAAACAAATAGAAAAAAAAACCAGGGAGGGTGCTGCACTGTGACGATTAGATCTAGATTCTAGATCTAGATCTAGATCTAGCAACAGTGCACTACTGTTTCTCTATCCTTATTTGTGATTTTTACACAGTATTTTTTCCCATTTTAGGTAAAAGCTTAAGTTTAGCTCCCCTTCTCTTCCCTATTACTAAAACAAGCACAGCATACATACTGTTTTCAGTTCCAGTTCTGAGTGTCAGACATTCTGCGACCCTACTGGGGCTTGTAACAGCAAGTCTGGATGCTGCATACACCTATCTAACCCTTTCAAATATGCACACCTGCAAACCATTCCATTGCCAAAAATAGGCATTTCAAAAAATTAATCCTGAGTATCCAGACCCTAGTACATTACCTCAGGCCTTAAGATTAAAATTATAATTATAACTTAAGACATAAGGCTTATTTCAAGGGCCTCGTAAAATTATAAGATCTACAACAAAGCACCCATGTAGACCTAGACTCTAGATTTCGATCTATACGTACAAGTACGGCGAGTACTCATTGTTGAAAGCGTCCAAAATACAGATGAGCAGCACCGGAGAAGCTCACTCTTTTTCTTGCACGAATTGCTTCGACGAACTCTAAAAATGTAAGTTCAACGCTGTTGCCACTCTGCGCATTGGGCCTGTTGTTATGTTTTCAGCGCCAGCCACCGGCAGCAGCAGCAGAGAGAATCCCGGAAAGGCTCGTTTATTTTTGGAATCTTAGAAGTAAGAAGAGTATCATTCAGCGACCTATCAATACACTAACAACGCTGAGGGACCTTGGCACTCTTGCATATTATGACCGGAAATGTGTATAATTGGCAGAAATGTCTTTTCTCAACAGAAGTTTATATTGGGTTGGCTTTTCGATGTGCCTCTCAGAGCATAATAATTTTAATATTATATATATACATACACACGAAAAAAAAATAAAATAATGACGACCCTAGTTTGAATCCAAAACGGCACTTCATTGAACTCGGTAGTTTTCAAGGTCTATATTTGCTCAAACGTTTGGCAAGAGGTCGATGGCGGAAGACTAAAATGTTTTGGAAATGGCATTGAAAGGGATCTTAAACCTTCACTCAAAGGTGAATTGTATAGTATGTGTTCAACAATCATAAATGCTGTATGATGAGCGCAGATGGCACGTCAGAATGCAATAATGTGTCAAGTTTTAATAGAACAATCAGAAGTCTAGGATAAGGCACAGTCTAAATTTTTCAAACAAAACTTTTAAATAAAAATTTAAAGCTCTACTAAAATAAAACCTGCATTTTTTTCGAGAAAATTATCAATATAGGGTTCGTGAGATCATAAAATAGAATACTAGTAGGATACATAACAATTATGTAGCTGTATATATCTATTTGGGTTTGGAAATAACCAATATTAATTGTGCCATCTATAGCTAGAAGAAAGAATTTGAATTTAAAAATATAAATGTGGATATCACTTATAATATCATCTTTCTGTTTTTCTGAGGGTGAACTCTCCGAAATCCATTACAAGGGTCAATATCTACAATGTAGTGTAAACTGTAAACAAGGCAATACATTCTGCATTTGCCTACCACCAGCGAGTCTGTCTGACATGTTTGTAATGTCATAATGCAGAGTCGTCAGTGACCTCGCCATGTCTCTGGCAATATTTCTAAAATTAGATACGGTTTTCTCAATTCTCCGCGAAGTCTACAAGATATCTCCGCGAAGCATTGTTTTGATTTAAGGCGAGCGAGACCCTTGGGCGAGACAGCGCAGCACGTCTCGATATTAGGCCAAGGAGGTGTAAGCTACTTGTATTAAAGCCTATAGCCTAGCAAATCATACATAATTAACGCATGCATAAACATAATATAATATTATATTGTGGACTCTACTTGAAAGCGTTAGATTTGCCCAAGACTGTTTCATTACTTATTTATGTTTGTTTGTCTGAGTGAAATTTTATAAAGCACTTCGTCACAATAACTATTTATGCAGGGCAAAAGAAAAAAAAAAGATACAGAAACATTAACAGGGCGAAAGAAAAGAATAAGGACCATAGATTTTTTTTAAAAAGGAGATAACTCTATGAGAAGGTCCTATCATGTGGCGGCCTCTAGACCCCTAACCATTATTAACCACCTATCGCCCACTTTTCTTGTTTGTGTATGCGTGTGTGAAGGTGTAAAATGGCGGGGGAG